TATATATATAGATATACATATACTTATATAGTTGCAATTGTATAACTCCACAAATATGATATATAAATATTGCTTAAATTTTTACACCTGGTGCATCAGAATATACAAGGCATGATGAGCAAAAAGCTAGAAATTGAATTGTTCTTAAATAGCAACAATATTCATATTTTATGTATTACTGAACATTGGTTAAAAGCTCATAATTTAATGTTTAACTTCAGTAATCACCAGGTGGTCAGTTCTTTCAATAGAGAAACGGTTTTAAGAGGTGGCTCCTTAATTTTAGCTAGTAAATTATTATCATGTAAAGTAAAGAACGTAAAGATATTGTGAGCCTCTCTGTTGAGCGAACTGTAGAAATGGCATTATTATAATGGCGATATTCTAAAATATTTTAAGACTAGTGATATTAAGAAAACCGCCGATCCGTGGGGGATTTCCCTTAAAGTTATTGCGTCTATAATAGATGCAATCGCATCTCAACTATCTATTATTTTTAATACTAGTATCAAATCTGGTGTGTTTCCTGATTTAATGAAGCATAGTAAAGTAATACCTTTATTTAAATCTGGCAGTACATTGGACCCCGCTAATTTTAGACCTATTTCTGTACTGCCAACACTTAGTAAAATTTTTGAAAAAATTATTCTTGATCAAATGTTAAATTTTTTTAATGAATTCACATGATGCTTTGGGTATATTCTGTGACCTATCCAAGGCCTTCGATTGTGTTCACCATGAAACATTAATCAGGAAACTTCAACACTACGGTGTAAGAAGTGATGCTCTTAAATTAATTATTTCATATTTAAGTGACAGAACGCAAAAAGTTGTCATTAATAGTATGAGTTCTTCCGGTTCGACTGTACAAATGGGCATGCCTCAGGGCTCAATTCTCGGCCCCTTTCTGTTTCTTGTATATATTAATGACTTACCTTACATAGTAGGGGATAAGCATGATATAGTATTATTTACTGATGATACTTCATTAATTTTCAAATTAAAACGACAGTTATTAAATTACGAAGAAGTAAATAATGCTATAGCTAAGTTAGTCAATTGGTTTAATGTTAATAATTTGCATTTAAATGGTACTAAAACTAAATGTATGAAATTCGTAACTCCTAATGTCAAACATGTTAATACGAATGTAATTTTAAATGGGGAAGAACTGAGTCTTGTTGATACCACCATTTTTCTTGGAATCACACTAGACGCAAAGCTTCAATGGCTCCCCCATATATTAAAACTAGCTAGCACTCAGTTCTGCAGCATATGCAGTAAAAAAAGATTAGAACTCTTACCAGTGCTGAAACAGCTAAAATAGTTTACTTTAGTTATTTCCATAGCATTACGTCGTATGGTATTTTGCTATGGGGACACGTGACTGACACTGAAATTATATTTGCATTACAGAAGATGGCCATTAGAGCAATATATGATTTAAAACATAGAGAGTCGCTCAGACAAAAATTTAAGGAGATTAATATATTAACTCTGGCCTCTCAATACATGTATGAAAATGTAATGTCATACACAAGAATAAACGTAGTTTTGCAAAAATAAGTGATATTCATTCCGTAAATACTAGGAACAGACACAAGTTAGTAGTACCAGTTACTCGACTCCGCCGAGTCAGTAATTCATTCTTGCGGCGATGTATACGCTTTTACAACAAAATCGCAGAAAATATACAAAATTTGTCGTACGCAAAGTTCAAAAATTTTATTAAACTAAGTTTTTATAAAAAGGGTTATTATAATATTAAGGAATTTATGGATGATAATAACCCCTGGGAAGGGTGATGGCTATCACAGCTATTTCTCATAATTTGTCTTGTGTTGTTAATTGTAAAAATAATTGTAAGCTATTATTTGAAAAAAAAAATAGTTACGCTGGGTTTCTTGCTGGTTCTTCCCAGGACAAAGGTTTTTTTTTTGCGAACCAGTGGTAAATGAAAAAATTGACTTTCAAAAAGTATTGTTTATAATCTACATTGAATAAAAAAGTTTCTATTTCTATTTGGTTCAAGAACGGCATTGATGCATAAAAGTATTTTCTATCTGGCGCCAATAATATATAATAAAATCTCCAAACACATCAAATAAATACCTACCAGACTTTTTAAGCTACATCTTAAAAATATCTGATAGCCAAATTTTATTACAGCTTGCCTGATTTCTCAAGTGATTGATTTTTTTAAGCTAAATAATGAATTGCGACATTTCTCTGATGCGATTTTACGAGATGCTATTGAAATTGTTGCATCATCTAAAATTATGACCGTAGGGTTAGTTAATTTGTCTTGTATAATAATTATTATATGTAGTATAATTTTTGTACACCATAAATGGCAAAACATGTAACTCGTTTTAAGTTTTTTAACACCTGTATTTTTTACTCATGTTTTACAAAATAAATATCTTTATTTCCATCGGTTGTCGGGTCTTCCAGCTATATGGCTGGCTCATTGCCACTTCAGCTTACTAATCCGTTGGGCTATGTCGGTCACTCTAGTTCTACTGCGGATATCATTTCTAAGTTTATCATGCAGAGAAACCCCGAGCATAGCCCTCTCCATACCTCGCTGAGCGAACTTGAGCATCCTCATACGGCCAGCAGTGAAGACACGCTCTGGTTGTACAATCTAGTTTTCAGATTTTGAGGCATACCTGACGAGAAGATGTGTCGAAATTTCTCAAATGCTGCCCAACCGAGTTGAGTCCATTGATTGACCTCTTGGTCAAAGTTGGACTTACCTAGTCAGACTATTTGTCCCAGGTAAACATACTGGTCAACAACTTCGAGCTTAGTACTCCCAATAACTACCCACTACACAATACCTTAAAGGTTAACTATTAAGTCAGGCAATGTTCACTAACAACGAACGATAAATGACACTGAATCAACACTTTGCGATTATTTTTCCTCAACAGGTAGTTATAATAAGATGTGATAAATTTATCACTCGCGACGTTGTTAAGTGCAGAACTGAGCCAATGTATACGTGTAATCTATATTATACGACCTTGAAAGCATTTAGAATGCGTTATTTGTATAAATATTACGAATAGCGGAATTAGGTAAACACAAAACTACAGCAGGTCAAACTTAATAAATAAGCGTCCATTTACCTATGCGAATAAAGCTACAAAGAAATTTCAATTATTTTCAATTTTAAATTCAACAATACGGCGTACCTTTGGTAATGCTAGGCGAAGTTAAATATATCCAATGTTAAAAAACTAGAGTGCATCGTTCAAGAAGTCAGCAGTTCGACTCGTTAAGGCCACAGGGCGTCAGTTCCATGGCATAGAAGTGACATGGACATTAAACATCTTTGTTTTGTCCGTGTCATTGATCATAGTGCCCAGGTCCTCCAGCGATTCTGCCACAAGGATTATATCGTTAGCAGATCGAAGGTGAGTGATGGAATCACCATTGATGTTAATACCGTAACCTCTCCAGTCCAATAGCTTTAAAACGTCTTCCAATGCAGCAGTGAAGTTTCGAGGATATAACATCACCCTGTCTTACACCTCTCTACAGTTGGGTAGGTTTTGTACTCTGGTTCTGTACTCAGATAGAAACCACTTTATCACTTCGATATACTGACAATCAACTTAGCACCGTTGAAGAGACTGCAGCACCGCCCAAATTTCGACGGAAACAAAGGCTTTATCATAGTCCACATACGCAAGACAAAATGGCAGATTTTACTCTTTGGTCTTCTGTACAATCTCCCGCAGCGTATGTATATGGTTCATGGTACTAAAGCCTTTTCGGAAACTAGCTTGTTCGTTAGGCTGAAAGTCGTCGAGTCTGCGTGCGCGACGATTCGTAATGACTCGAAAACAGCATCTATACGCGGCTCTGAAGGAAAATCAGTCTGTAGTTCTTCAAGAGAGCGTTGTCGCCTTTCTTGAAGAACAAGACCACCGCACTTCTGCCCCACACATCCGGAGTACTGCAACCACTTAGAACGGAATTGAAGACCTTCTGAAGGACTTTAAGTATCGGTTTTCCACCCGCTTTCAGATGCTCCGCTGTAATTCCATCCTCGGCCGGGGACTTTTCGCTTTTAAGGTACTAGAGAGCCATTCTAATCCCGCTCAGACTGACGTCCGGGATATCGTCGGAATAGTGTCAGAAAAGACTTGTTCTTGGATTGTTACTCACACTTGCGTGTGGCTCCAACGATGACGTGTACAGCTGCCCATAGAACCTCTCAATCTCACTCAAAATCTCAGGTGTCCCGGAAACGATGCTGCCACACTCGGTCTTCAGCTTTGACAGTTGGCTCTTTCTGGCAGACAAATCTCTGGCAAAGACTTTGGAGCCTTGGTTCCTCTCGATCCCTTCTTCAATAGGAGCAGTATTAAAGTTGCGTAAGTCCTGCCGCATGCATTTGGAAATCTGTCTGTTCAGTTGCCTATATGCTGTCAAATCTGTTGAAGACTGCAGTTTCATTCCCCAACTAACAGCCTTGAGATGATAGCAGAGTTTTTGTACTCTTCTGCGGCGGATCTTGCAGAACTATATTGTCGTCTATTCTTATTGATGTTGATTGTGCAATATTTTTAATTTCACCACTTGTTCTGATTTATTTTCAAATCTTTGCACATAGAGTAATGAACATAAATAATCATAAAAAAGAGAAATAACCATTCATTTTAACTATTACGTAACATGAATAAATTATAACTTAGATAATCTTCAAACAGCTGAACAAACAGATTTACTTGAAACAGCAAAAACACTCTCGATTAAAACACCTTTCAAATGAAAAAACTTAATCAAAGTAGGTTCATCACTTCAGGAGCTACGATGCCACGGACAGACAGTTAATTATATCGTAGATTGAAGCATATCACAATTCCAAAGCTAAACACTTCCCCTCAAGATTTCCACAAAGCATGGTGCTATATATATATATGGTGACATATGCATCTATCTATCAATACTCTAAACTAGAAATCATTACTAACTAATACTCTTACCATAATTAGAGCTTCCCAATTTCCTCTTCGAATACTCTTTTCCCGCCTTTTAATATCTTCTCGGAATCATTGTTATACTTCTTCATATATTCTTCCAGTCTTATTAGCCACTGGGCCCAATGCTCTCTTAGCTTATCCGTTGATAAGTAATAGACATCAGCCTTAGACCCATCAGTGTATGCTATTACTAGTAAGGCATCCTTTACATTTAGATGCTTGTAGTTCAGATCGTTACATACAGCCCCAAAGTATGCCGCTAACTGGACAGGATTGTCATATGTTAGCGCTATTGATTTCCGTGGCTTATCTGATTTCTTCCATTCTATTAATGTCGGCTTATCTCTGTAATATATAAAATAAAAATATAAAGAATTGAACAAGCATTTGTTTTTTATTCTTAGTACCCACCATCCTCTTTATTTCCGCTTATTTAAATGGTAAGAGAATTAATAGAGCTCAAGCCTATCAGAGAGCTGTGGTAGCTCAGATAGTTAATGCTCGCTGTAAATATAACCGAACGCGAGTAACCCGGGTTCGATCCCCGCCGGCACCAATGAAATTAAGTGTTGTGGTGAAAGAAAGCATCGTGAGGAAACCTGCATGTCTGAGAAATAAGAAAAAAAAATATTTCAAAGACAACGTGAAGTTCGCCAACAAGCATTGTTGGGACAGCGCGGCGGTCACTTCCTTGCCCTAAAACCCTCTCAGAAATGAGGGCAGGCCTGTGCCCAGCAGTGGGACGTATATAGGCTGTAACTTAACTTTTAAGCCTATCAGGCATTTAATCTATACCTAATATGCCAACATGACTATAACCGGTTAATACCTGATGATTTCTTAAATTTACGCGAATACTACACATTGAATAAAACTAAATTTACGGATTCTATCGCGTTTATTTAACTGATTTTACTTATTTTTAATTCCCGACGTTTCGGGTGCTTTTGCCGTGACCATGTTTACTGTAAACACCCGAAACGTCGGGAATTAAAAATAAGTAAAATCGGTTAATACCTGTATTATGAATCAAATTGTACTCCTGAAAATAGTAAAACCAAACATATAACGGTAGAGCCACACTGCAGCTATATTATGGTTGTAGCGCAAATGAGTCAGTTCGACCAGGGGAAGGACCACGCTCTCACAGAATACCAGCGTAAAATAGCAGCTTAATGCTGCTGTGTTTCATATGGCAAGTAAAAAGATCCATAGACCCCTATTTACTGGAAATGAGGCATTCCATCTTAGTCGTGGGGTGACAACGCATCTGCTCTGCGTTTTGATTTTTAATTGAGTATAAATGTAGATATGTCTGTGGGCCACAGCATCCACTTACCATCAGGTGGACTGTGTGCTCGTTTGTCACCCTTATTCTATAAAAATATAAAATATACAGATTATTTTTTTTAAAACCTCTTTGTCACCCTAATCATAAAAACCCTATGATATTTTTTAATTCACAAAAGTATTGAGCACAAATAGTACTTTCCCCCTCAAAGATAAACTATCAATCCCGCTTCTTGGATGTCGAAACTTTTATGAATTGTAAGCAAGATAGTTTGTGAAATAGACCGGTGGTGGATTACTGATCCTGTATTATTGTTTAAATAATGGTTTAAAATAGATACGTACAAGTGGTGCGATTTTGTGTATTAAATGTATGCTCATTTGAACTATTGTTATTATTGCTCCGATGGTTAAGGTTACCCTCAAAATAACGTGTCTGCTTAGGTGCCTTGAGATACTATCATCATAGACTGCCTACAGGCTCATGCTGCCGTCAAAATCTCCCAAAACCTTTACAATGTGACGCGTCAACATAATGTGAAGAATTTTTAAACTAATTATTATGAAGGAGAACTTCTTAATATACTTAACACTGGCAGAAGTACAAAAGTTTGATTTCATTACCAAAAAAAAAATTGTAATCAAAAAAGTTGAAAATCTTAGACAAATGAAACAGTTTAGGTGCAGTTTAAATGGTAATTTACTTCAAGCTATTTTGTACAAAACAACAACTTAAATCTACATGTCTGAAAAAATAAAAGATTCACCTGACCCAGAAAAAGGGAGTTTGTGCCCAGCAGTATGAAGTTTATAGGCCATTGAGTAGTAGCCCATGAATACTTACTGCCTTCTCTTCAATCAAAACAACAGTAGAGTGCACTGTTAGACTATAGACCTAAAATTCAAGACTTATTTGGTAATTTTCAGTAGCAGCCTTGAGTCAGGAAGTCCACAGTGTTTTAGAAGACTAGTCTCTGTGACTGAAAATTGGTCTGATGAATGTTAAACATAATTATGACCAACATTACACGTAACTTAGTCGGGACCAACCCTGGCAGATGCCTTGTCAAGAAATAAGTCTCAATTATTTAGGCCGGTTTTAGAGCTCGACCGACCGTCAGTGCGTACGTCGGTCGCGCTTGCCATTTGTATGAAGTCGTTACAGTGCTCGACCGAGCGTACGCATGCGTGCTACGCACTGCGTACGAGGACCGTCGGTCATGCGCGTCCGCATGCGTACCGTCGGTCGATTGACGCGCTATAGAAACATATTAACGCGTTCAGTGCTACACCGATCGGTGGACCGACCGTACGGAAGCGTGTATCATCGTCAAGAAAATCGAACTTAAACTTCAATAATATTGTATGATTTTATAGGTATTAAGTAGTGTTAGTGATTTAAGTAATTTTCATCAAACATGGCATATGTCGATTGTCGACACCAAACGCCTATTTACCGAAGTCCGTCTTCGCGAACTTCCGTAGGACAAAAGCCACGTGTTATACAAAGACCGTAATGTCAAGGCCTGGGAAGAAGTTTGTACAGCTTTGTTTCCGAATTTCGATGAGTGTACTTGATTATAATAAACAACGTGACTCAGCGAGTACAAGAATGAACAGAGCTGTATTTTCAAAAGACATATTTAAAAAAACTATATAAACAAAAGAAACAATTACACTTTAACAATTCCTAAAGTACTCAAATGTTTATAATGTTTTACAGCAGCTAGACTTTTTGTAAACAAATCTGCAGGCATATTTGATGTACATAGATAATTAACACTTATGTTTTTATTAATTAATTCTCTACAATAGTGATATCTGACATCAATACTTCGATTTATTATGGAATACAGGGTTTAACAACAATTTCTGTACACTCATACTATCATTATATAAAATGATTTTATACATCCTTTTAGTAAGTTCAAATTGTAAATTTCTCAAATAAACTGCCTCTTTGCAGGCTTCCGACATGGATACATATTCATATTCGGTACTAGAAAGTGTAATACATTTTTGCTTACTGCAACTCCTAGATATAACAGACCCCGACAAAGTATAACAAAATCCTGAATATGATTTCCTATCATTAACATCACTGCACCAGTCTGCATCAACATAATCTTCAATGTTTACATTTTTTTTTATAGAATAGGCTGACAAACGAGCACACAGTCCACCTGATGGTAGGTGGTTGCTGCGGCCCATAGACATCTACATCTATCTTCCATTACAAATCAAAATGCAGATGCGTTGTCACCCGTGAGGACTGAGATGGAATGCCTCATTTTCAGTAAAAAGGGCCTCCGGTTCTCTACACTCACCATACGAAATACAGCAGCATTAAGCTACTATTTCACGCTGGTATTCTGTGAGAGCGTGGTCCTTCCCCGGTCGAGCCGACCCATTCGTGCTACAACTATACTACTAATATAACTGCAGCATGGCTCTACCACGTAGAAGTACATTTTTGCCCTTACTATATTTCAAACCTAAATCTTTTGTCCCTTTCAAATATCTTAAAATTCTTTTGGCATAAACCCATTGTTGTTCAGTATCACAATTATTGAATTGCCTTAAATATGACACTGCATACTATATCTCCCGAAAAGCTGCTGATAGGGATTTTCATTACTAAAATCAATTTCCTTCTTACATTTTAAGTTGACCTCCATTGGAGTATTCACAGTGTTACAATCAACCATATTGAACTTAGACAACAATTTATCAATATATTTCTTTTGACTTAAAGTCACAGTACTATTTTGGTTATCAAATACAACTGACATGCCAAGACATTCCTTTACAATTCCTAAATCTTTTAATACAAAATTCTTATTTAACATATTCTTAAGATTACTAGTTTCATTTCTATCATTTGAGAATACAAGGAAATCATCGACATATAATGTCACGATAGTTTTACTGCCGCCAGCAAATTTTGTATATAAACATGGTTCTATTTGGGACTTAATATAACCATTAGCTAACATGCAACCATCCACTTTCTTATGCCATGCACGAGATGCCTGTTTGAGACCATATATAGCTTTGTTCAATTTTAAAACCTTACTATTTGTACAGACATAACCTAAAGGCTTTTGCATATATATTGTCTCAGACAGATCTCCATTTAAGAAAGCAGTTTTCACATCAAGATGTGTTACTTCTAGGTTCAGCTGCACTGATAATGCCAATAATAATCTGTGTTGTATGCTGTACTACTGGGGAAAATGTTTCACTATAGTCCACACTGTATTTTTGTCTACACCCTTTAGCCACAAGTCTGGCTCGATAGCAGACATTATTTTCACTATCACACTTTTTTTTAGAACCCACTTGCACTTAACTATATTGCCACTTGCAGGAATATCAACAACTTCCCACGCTTTGTTGTCTTCGAAGCTTTTCAGCTCTTCTTTCACTGCCTGTTCCCATTGCTCCTTCTCTGGTCCTCTTAGTGCTTCTTCTAATGTCAGTTCATCACTAAAATATTCATTACACTGTTCTGTGCATATATATCCAAACCTTTCTGGTTTTTGTCTCACCCGTTGTGGTTTTGTGGTTTCTGGTTGCTGCTCTTCCTCAGATGTCATGGACTCCTCCATTGACTTTTTGGTACACAGGTTCCATCCATGTCATTAGTCGAAATGAATGAATCCTCTCCATCTTGGTCTGACACCTCTCCCACTGAAGATGTATGTGGACTATTTTCTGCTGGTTTGTCTTCTACCACTTTCATTTCAATCATTTTTTCTTGATGAGATAACTTTTCATTTATGAAGACAACATCTCGACTGGTTATATAGCCTTTGTTGAAGGATTGTATAACCTATACCCTTTGACATCCTCAGGGTAACCAACCAGTATACATTGTTCTGATTTCTTGTCCCACTTATGTCTTCTCTCCTTGGGTATATGTCTTATGACAGTACTACCAAAAATCCTTAAATGACTTGACGTTGGGTTTGCCTCCTGTCCACAACTCGTACGGTGTCATCATCATCATTCATCATTACAGCCCTTCACAAGTCCACTGCTGAACATAGGCC